AGGTGGAAGCACGCCGGATAAACAAATAGGTGACTGCGACTACATGTCATTAGCCGCATTGCTAACGGTGAAACAATGCGTAACGGCCAATATGGTTGAAAAGCTGATCTTGGTCATCGAATGAAAATAGTAAACACTAATAACCTCTGGATTAACACGTGACCTAATACATGTAGATACAGAGAGATTTACATTCCAACAGTTACAGTCCTATTTATGCTTGTGTTGGGATGAGAGTTTTTAAATCATTTTCATATTCATATAAGACTAGAAAAAACTACTAACAAAGGAATGTACTAAAATTCTGAACTATTTCAATTAGACAGGGTCGTTTGTTTTTCCATGATTTACCCGCCTAGCCTCCTATCCGTGTGACGATATGACATAGATAGAGGCAGGGTAGGTGTATACGCCAAAAATACACTATACATCCATCTTGTATAGGGGTACTTAAGCCGCATGCGGTAGTGACTCTGCCAATAACAACAAGTGTATATTATTATTATTATAATATTGGTACGTTGACGACCTGAGAGAGGCGGACGGGCCACCAATGCATTCTGAACCGGACCAATGCAATATATTATAGCATTACAAGGTATAATTATTACCGTATCACTGACGGCTCACGGCACCGAATGTGTATTATTATTATATAATATTTTATTATTGTAAGAATTATCTCTCGCGTGCCTCCGCTGACGTACATTGGCCGACACCGTGTGGTTAACGCCGGTATAATATATTATTATAATATTATATTGTACACGTTATAAAGGGGTCGGTCGGGTCCAATCGCGGTTTTAACGAATTACACGTGTTTTTTTTTACAACGACTGGCCGCCAACGACTACGATTATCCGAGGTCTAGCTCACCGGTACAATTATTATTTTAATGTATGTACACCAGAGCAGGTATTGTCTATGGCGGCGGCGGCAGCAACACCCGCACCTGGCGAAGACCGGTCGGATGTTACGGTTTTGTAGATAAGAAGAAGAAGAAGAAAATATCTATTCAACCGACCATCTCCGTGCAGAACGAATTAACCGTGCAGTCCTCTGTATATCGGATTGCAGGCCACAACCTTGGAACCGCCGTTTATATAATTAACAACAAAAGAATCGCCGCCAACAACACACCACCACCATCAACTCCACTACTTATGTCAGTACCGAATCAATCGAATCTATATGAATACCGTATAGCCCGACGACAACTGTCCGTATGCTTCCTGGAAGCAAAAGTCTTGTACGGCGGCGGCGGCGGCGGCGACGATGATATAATGACAAGGACGAATCGGTGCCCACGTCGGCTAATTCGGTTACAATAGTAACACAACGCTTTGTGTCGTTCTTTTGTTATTCGGCCAACCGCAAACAAAAACAGTTTTTCCGAAAAACAATTCCGCATTAACTTCGAAAATTCTAAAAACGATATTGTCATCCTGTAACAGAGGGGGGAATTTGAAGTTGGGAAACAAAACGAGCGAGAGGTTGTTTAAATTGCTGCTTCTGAACCGCTTGCATCTTTCAAGCATAACCTTCAAGCACAGATAGCGTCGGAAGGTCGGACATGCCATACATAAGTCTAAGGCTCAAAGTATTGACTAGGGTTTTGGTTCACTAGTTTTCGGTTATCTACTCGGAAAGAAAGTTTAAACTCTAGTCGTTAGCCGGGTAAGGACTTTAAGCGTGCTTTATCGCCAACGGAGTGTTCTAAGAACAAGAACATGACCGGCGTTAGCTAGATAAGAAACTACAATGAGTTAATTCAAACGTAGCGATTATCGCCTATTGTCCGATACTGATTCCGGTCGAGATACCGTCGTCTAAGAAAGCTGACCCGGTATTACAATATGTGAACCCTATACAGACACAGATCAAATCTATGGCATGTTACACGTGTTTAACGATAACCGATGCTCGAGAGAGCTCCTGTAAACGAGTTGCAGCACTGTATTTGTGTGGACACACAATTCCTGAATTACCTTTCTGTTCCAGGAACGCACAGGACGGTGGTAGGGAAACACGTTGGATTTGCTCCGAAAATAACTTTGTAAGGATTACCAGCCAAATGTGCAAACGCCGCGTTTCGGACCGCCTAAGTCCAGCGGACCATCGCGGGTCGTACGACATTATTATTATTATTAAATCGTTGTCGTACATTAACTGTGCTTTTAAGAGATCACACTCGTGCAGTGCAAGCGTCGAGATCTTTGTGCGTGCCGGACATAAAGCAGAACCGACCAGTGTGTTTTTGGACCCGATCCAACGTCGGCCTAATCAACTGCAGCTCAAAACACATATTAGTGTACGCACATATTATACACAATAGAAACGTTTTACGAAACCGCAGAAAACTATCCTGAAACAATAACATACGCCGCACTTTGGATACATACAAACCGAATTGTGCAACGTTTTACGAGTCATTATTATTATTATTGTTGTTATTGCTATTGGATTTCTGCACAAGAACCGTCTCGCACTGTACATTAATACTTTTATTGTCTTTCCGAGAAAGGCCGAGCAGCGACGGTCTGAAATTTCAACCGCAGTCTTGGGCGGAGGAGGGCTTCTGTAAAATAATATTCCATTACAATACACGACCATTGGCGCTGTAGATACTTGTTTTGAATATATATATATATATATATATATGTAATAATTTGCACCGACGACTCCACGCCGAGCACTTTCTACGTTTGGCCAACACCGTTCGACGACATTAACGTGGTAATGGTCTTGTTGAAAATGCTAATAGTTATATAATAATATAGCATCACACGGTGCCGCTCACTAGTGGACTGCATCGATTACTTGTGTCTTAGATTGGAAAAAAAGGGGTAAAACCAAGAAATGCCATTGTTATTGCATCGACCGGATGTACAGAAACGTTGACGATAATTAAGTATTACCAGAAAAAAAGAATTGTACACGGCTGTACTGGAAAATTGCAATGTCATCGCGACAACAAAAAAAGCGTCACATATCAGTAATTTTGACCCAAAGTTAAACGGTTAATGCAAACTGAATTTCGCGAAACGGCATAATAATATGAACACTATTTTTTTTTCAAAAAAAAAAACTACTTATAACAGCGTTATGACTCGTTTGGGTCGACAAGGCCGATTTTTAGGCGCAACTACTTAATAGGTCACGAAGCCTGGCTTTTCTCGGGTCAACTCGAGAAAACTATGGTCTATGATGGAGGTCCTTAATAAAAAATAATAAAAGAATGTGACCGACTTGGATCCGTTCCCGACTTGTTTAAAACAATTTAATTCAAACTAGCCATACGGTATGATGAATGTAAAAGTTATAAACAGGAGAGACTCGATAGCTGCTCGCCAGCAAACATTTTATCATAATATCAACAGCGGGCGAATCACTTTTAGGTATATAGAAAATAAAATATTAAGGTCATTTCGAAGACTGAAGAAGAAAAAACGGCGACAGCCCTTCTACACTGACCGTTCTCCGGTCGGCGTTTTATTTATTGATCGATTGATTGCGCTGTAGAGAACTAAGAATAACGACAGCCCACATGTTTAAATTAAGTTAAAATTCAATACTATTTTATTGTGCATTACGTTCCTTGTTAATTTAAGCAGATAAAAATATATTAGAGTTTACCCTTTTGCGGTAGTTAAGATCTATATAATTGCATCCCCCGCGTACAAAAACTAACTAAATTAAAATTACAATTTACAATTTTTGTTATATATATATATATATATATATATATATATTATAATATCTATGTATTTGTATTAAAGATATGTTAACATATGCACATTTTTATTTCTGATACAAAATTATTTCAAACACCAATACACAGTTTAGTCGGATCTATAGTCTTGTCTATAGTTTAGTCTTTAGATAATAGAAAGTATTAGACTACCAAAATTATTTTGTTGAGTTCAATAATCCTCCCACTTTTTTTTTGGGGGGGAGGGGGGTTGTGATTGTTTGACCAACTCTGCTGCTGACATAATATAATAATATTGCAGATCAGCACGGAGTTACCGAACTCTTGCTATACTTTCTACGCCCCCGCACAATGTTGAAACACCTATTTAAAATTGTGATCTATTATAACCTGCTGATAGGTTTGTATACCAGTTTTAGCTACGCGTAGCCGATAGCGCATAACCATAAATGAAAACTATGGTAAAAAAAGTTCATAATAAAATATATCATGAAGAAATAATTGTATACAGCAAAGAACTGCAGCGCAGAAACTATCAGACACGGACTGTGCACGACTGGACCGCCGGTTACCGTCAGAGCACACCACGTTGCGTACCTGCGGATCACACGATACAGGTCGTCACATGTGGCGGCGGCGGCGACGACGGGCAGAATTGAGCCGCCGGTCACACAATAGACGACGCAACACAATAACGGGAAACGCGTTTTTTTCCCGCCCGTTATGCCCAACCGCGCGCGGCTCCCCTAATTTTTCCTGCTCTGTACTTATATATATATATATATTTATTAATAATAATAAAATAAGAATAAGGAGGAGGGTCGGCAGCACTAAACCGCGTGTACAAGTAACGTTTATTGTCGCCAACATCTATCTACGACGCGACGTACGCGTGATTATTATTATTATTATTACGAAATCACGACAATGTTGTCCCGCGGGTTATCACATATCACATATCTGCGTATTTGCTTTTTTTTATTGCAGTTGATTGACATACTGGGCTAACGTACGTACACAGCAACAATATATGTACATAAATAATATTAAACAATAATAAATTATTATTAAGTGTCAAAATTAATATTTTACGGTTGCGGCACGCGGCCGAGATAACGAACGTGTAATAATCGTAAAAAAAAAAAACATTGTTGCTGTCAATTGAAATTTGAAGGAGATTATAAGAGTACTGTTTATTAAAAGAAACCGGAGCGCTTTTGGACAATCGTCCGTGTATAATACAACGAACCAAGGTCTGCGATTTTTACGCGGGCTGTGTTTGGCTTACCTAAGAAAATGCACATTGGTCCACGCAATGATTCGCCGGACAGATGGACGATGGCTAAGCACAGGTCGCCGACCAACAGACATACGATGTGATTGATTTGGCACTTCCAGTGGAGCACATGGTAAGTGCTGGGCAACATGCAGCTGGCGACTAGCGTGACGGCCAGGAAGAACACGGACAGCACTAGGCCGAACGGGTACAAAGTAAAACGTATGTCCTCGCGGTAACTCTTAGTCACGTCGAGTCGCGGCGCGCACGTGAACACGGTCCACATCCGAGGTTCGGCTTCTTCCAGTACGTGTTCCAGGCAGTAATCCTTGGCGGCGATCACCGTGCCGTGGGCGTTGCGCAACGCGCCGGGCGGCCCGTCGGCCGGCGTCCAATGGGTGTCGTTCAAGTGGCCCGCCATCGAGTACGACTCCTCGTCGGGACACCACGGAAACCCGGACGTGACGTCGTCGGGCAAACCCTGCGAGTCGTGCCGGCCGGAAAACTCGCACGCTGTCTTCTGTTCGCTGTACACGGCTGCCGGGCCGCAACACTTTTTCACCCTGTTCGATTCGTCGGGTCGGCAGACCAGGGCGCCTGACCGGTCCAAACAGAACTGTCCGGGATCGATCAACGTGTGCGGCCAGTGTTGCACCCAAAGAGAACCGTTGAGGAACGGCACGTAACCGGACGGGCTGCCGGGCGGTGCGGCCGCCAGGAACGTGGCTTGACACTGCGGCCGGGCCCGCACCATGTTCCAGTACGGCGGCGGCGTAGAGTTGGGCGCGAGGAACTGGTTGCTGATGAAGTCGTAGATGACCGGCACGAAATCGAGCGGTTCCGACGGCTGGCCGGCACACTGGCCGAGTGCGTCGTTAACGTTTAGCGTTTCGCCGGGGCCGCAACACCTGAACACGGTGACGTTGTTGTTGCCGGCAGCCAACCGGGCGACCGTGGCGACGGCCACGGCACAGGCCAATAACACTTTGAAAACGGTCATTTTCCGTATGTTAAATCGTTCACTTAAAGAGTTCAAAAAAAAAAATTCGTTCGGCGCATCCGAAAGGAAAAAGTAACCCGACCGCTTTACCCGTTCACGAACTCGTCATGCTTTTAGTGTATTTTATAAGTGCCGCGCGGACAACGCGAACCTCTCAACCGGTTGACGAACTGACGCGAGTAACACTGCAACAACACTGATGAACGCCGTTGTCGAATGGTACGGTCACCCCGGTCTGTTGGCAGCCGCCGCTTACCCCACTACTCCAGACGGTACCACTACGACGACGGCGGCGGCGGCGGCAACGGCGGTTATCTCGGGAACTCTCCGCCGGCGGTTTGTCTCCTCCTCAAAATTATAATGGTAAGCAGCCGCCGCCGCCGCCGCCGCCGGTGCCCTGGGCCTCCACTTTACATTTCTGTCCCGTGCGGATGGCCCACCTCACAACGGGCCGGTACAACGTTATTTTCTCATCGTACTTGGTGCATTTCAACGATTATTTTTAATAATATATTTATGTAATAGCTTTTGAGTTTTAATAATTACAATATTAACAAAACAGCCTAAGCACGTATAATAAATGGTATAAAACGAGTTTTTTTTTCACTTTTAAATGTTCATTCAGACGCGTTTTTCCAATATTAAACAACACTGTCTCGTTAACATCGCCTTAGTTTTAATAATTGCGTTTAGTGTTTTCGATGCAGACACATTGTTTATGTATTCAGTTTAAATCCCGCATGCGAATAATCCTTATGAGGACATCATACCTCCGTTTTATTAAGGAGAGGTATAGGCAATTTTTTGCAAAATCTTAATTTAAACGTTAAATTGTGATGTGTAATATTAGTTCAGTAATTAGAACAAGTTTTTTACAAGAACATTAATACAATATATTCGTCAATGAAACATATTTCCATCCATAATTGTTTTACAATATTTCATCATTTTTCGAAAGGCTTAAATAAGATCCGGTTTTCTTTACACGTTTGTCGTTCAAAATGTCCAAAGGTATTGTTGACAAGATAAATGTCTGAAAAATAAACGCCATTTGGAAATATTACTTCGTTTAACCGAAGTTTGTCAACAATCATTATATAATAAATAGTATAGTATATTATATGGTGTATTATTATGTAACGTTAACTATACCTACTTAATACGTGACGGTATGTCTTCGCGGATCCAATACATCCATACAAAAGAATGTTGACCGAATAATACACTTCTTAATTATCTATTTCTAGTATAAGGCTAAAAATATATCTTTTCTTCTATTATTATTATTATTTTCTTGCAATTTTTTTTAGCAAAATAAGAACTCAAGTTTTTGTTTCCAACAAGAATGCAAGACATGCAAGACGATATGTGTTTTACATATATAATTGAAACTTAACCACAGCTGAAAAATATTATACATAATCATGATAGCATTCAAGAAGGGAAGTTCCTGAGGTAACTGAATATTTTGACTAAAACTATGATCGTGAGGTAATTTTCACATCTTACAGCATCGCAATCGTAATTAATTAATTCATCCATTTAACTGTGACTGTAAACTTCACTACTATTGTATCTTAAATTACACCTCATAATGTACGTTTATTCTTCAAATAATTATACTTAATAACAGCAAATTAAAAATCCATTAGCCCTCGTGTAAAATCAAAACTAAAAATAAAATACCTTCTTAGCTTCGTATCAAAGCTAAAATGTTTTTTTCAAAGCCTTTATTAGTTAACATTATTATTATATAATAACTAAAAAGACAGTAATTGGAAAACAAAATACATACATCTCGGTGCCACACGTGTAATATATTTAAATTTATTCAGACATATTTATTTTTCAAAACTCCTTTATATTGATACTGTAATAATTATCTTTTCTATTTAAGTTTTTACTCAGGTACTATATTCTAATGTACTTATACCGAATACATATTATTTTCACCGAGTAATATAATGGAAATAATTTATCACACAACTCGAAAAGATTTTTTTAAGTACACTTTATGCGTCCACGGCCTATAGTATACAACGTTATTGTATAGATATGACTTTTTCGATCCTCACAATAGGTGAGTATACGCAGACGAGTATAACAATATTGTCCGTGCTATGTACTTGAACCGCCATAAAAAAAAGTAGTTATTATTATTTTAATATTCGTTTGAGCGTTCGCCGTTCTTTACTAACATCACTATAGGTACGTCCGCGAAACTGACTTAAAAAAAAAAAAATTCCTCGGTAAAAATACACACTACATCGTTGGAATAATAGACAATATTAAAATACTAAACAAAGGTCATATTGTTGTTGTGTAGTGTGGCAAAACGCTCATAGAATTTTTAGAAAAAATTATGTAGGTGTATACATTTTTACAATTTGTTTAACCCGTGTAAAAAATGATGAGTAATGCCTTCAATTCTGATTCTCATCATTGGTCAGAGATTTTGCAAGCCCGACTTATGTACCTACACAGAAAGACTGATTTTATTTGACATCCAGTCAGACCAAGTTACACTAAAGGCCAGTGTAATTGATAAGAAAATCCTGGATCAGATCATCGGCGAGAGAAACGGTACAAAACAATATTAACTGATTGCTGAAGTTTGTTTCGTTAGTCACTAAATGTTTCTATATTTACTATATACTATATACTATATACATATATTATACTAATTGTGTATGGCCGTCTCTGCGCATCCTTGTTTTCACTTTAAGAACCGACAACAACAATAGTGCTTGTAGAACAGCTATATGTACCTACAACGAAGTTTCCAAGTCGCATATTTCTGGGACTATTGTTTTTCAAAATTGTTCGCACAGCTCTGTAAACAATCAACATTGTGTAAACAAACGTTTATGAAGTCAAAAGATAAACCGATCGTTTACGGCAGCGCCGTGTATAATAATTATTACAACGGACAATAATAATATTATTAGTCTACAACAAATGAGTAGATAACACTACTCGACGGTTGTTATGATATTGTTATAAAAAAAAAATGATCACCCGGGTTAATTAGGTTAAGCAATTTATTTTGAGCGATTATTTATGGCACCATAATAAGTGCACCAACCGAGCGGCAGCTTAAATGGTAAAACTTAATTTTAAAAGAATTTTCTCTTATAAATTTCACTTAATAAAAAAAAAACATTAAAACAAGTTGTCCTCGATAAATTATTTGTAAAGGAAATTATTGAATATGATTATATTATATATTTTGTGGTGATGTGTGACTGCTATTAAACTGAATGTTTTTAAACTATATTATACACAAAAAAAAAATCTATATATTTTCAGCTTCTCGTCAAAGTTAAAAGTACTTTTGAAAAATCACAAAATTCATCGAAAAACAAAATAATATAAAACCCTGACGACCACCCGGGAAGAGTAAAAGTTAAGTTGACAATGTAGTTATAAGTTATAACTTATACTTATTAAAAACACATACTATACTATAGGTTGTATGGTGTAGTATATTATAATTTACATTAGTATTATTTTATCAATTTTTAGATTAAGGATAAAGATGAGTGCCGGGTGTAATGAATAAAATGCATCTATAGGCACTACTTTTAAATCGGTTAATTGCAAATATCGACTGAATGTTTTCAATTTAACTAACAAAAACGTTGAACGCAGATTTTTTAATATAATTAACTGATCTTCTTTATTGGATTGTACTCCATTAAGTGCACCGAATTTGTAATAACTGGTGCGTGTATTTAATGCACGTAGAAATAGTAAAACTTGTATTTATGCACTAATAATAATAAGAATAATATTATATTTTGTGTTCTCGTTATTTTTATGAAGCCACATGCTTTAGTTTTACATTTATTAGAACTAATAGACTACAAATTATCAAAAAAAATCTTAAAAACAAAAAACCAGCCGAAGATGACAGGAAATTTCTATTTAATTATTATTGTCGAGATTTGTCCGGACTTATTTCTTATTCTTGGAGTAAAAATAAAAAATGATTTTATTAAATTCACATACCTGTTCGTAATATGTTATCGGATAGACTGTAATCACAGGGAAAAATTAAACCCAGTAAAAAATAAATCTAAGAAATCTTTATTTATTTATTTTTTTTGTTACTGATATAGCTGTTACTGATTCTAGGAAAATTTGTACTCATAAAGTAAATGAAAATATTCCTTTCGACGAGGTAAAAATCATCCTGATTTATTATATAAAACGTCGTGTAATATTGTTATAAACGTTGTTTTTGTCCTTTGGCTAGTAAGATTATGACGCGATAGTTGAAATGCGGTAATCATTACCATCGGTTTTCCAAATGTAGTTATGTAAAACGGGATTATATTGTCATAATCAGTACGGGGATACCTACATATTTTGTTCTGAAAATATTTTTTTCCTCTTACAGTGATTATTTTCGGTCTTGCGCAGTCCGTGTTCTGGAACGAGGTCCGAGTTAACAACGTGGCCGCGACCAAGATGATATCTCGCGACAAGAAAGAAGCGCTTGAACTTCATTAGCCCCTTCCCCCCCCTCCCCCCATTGGAAAAGAAAACAATTGTGTGTGTGTTAATTCATTTGTGCCGCGGTCGGGGATTGTTGTTTTGGGGTTTTTTTTTTGTTCTTCAATAATGTCTTTTTAACGCACTCGTGCGTTGTTCTACTGTACAGCGGCGAATAGCGCCGCCGCCTCGCCGTGAATTATGACTATTATTTTATAATTATTATATTACTCTACTACTATTACTGTGTTGTTGTCATTGACCTTGGCCACGATGAAATTTTTCCACCGTCCGTGTACGGGTACGACGGGTACCGGTTGCTGCGGGGCCGTGCAGGTACTTTCGCCCAAAGTCTTTGGCCTCAAACGACGACCACGCGCCTGTAAAACGCCGGTACTCGTTTATACGGTTTTAATATAATATAACACCCGCAATAGTAGTGATGATGATAGAAAAAAATATGTTAATGTGTTAATATTCCAAACGCCGGTCGCGTTGAAATCGATTCCGGTCGTCACTTCATTCAACGACGGGTCTGGTGTTATACAACACTCGGATGAACGTTTACCACCGAGCACAGGACGTTCAGATCTCCGAACACGGTAAAAACCTGATATTCGATATTGGTCTTTGAGTTTACAATACGAACACACAACAGGTATACGGCGCGGACCGGTTTCTATTTTCTCTTCCCCGTGAATAATAATAATAATAATAATAATAAAAGG